ATAGACCCCCACTGACGACGAATACAATGGGATGAAGATAGACAATGGAAAGAACCAATGGCAAGGCATATGCAATGGCAGCGACCTGGACGGCCCATAATTTGAATTTGATGGCTCCGTAGACCCCTACTGAATGTAGAATAATACAGACGAGAATCCACACGTCCATGTATCGTTGCAACATGTACAAGAACCAATGACCATGGGAAGGAGAGTCTTGAATCGTATAGTCAGGGTCAGAGCTCTCGTCTTCAGCGTTACCACGGATACCATGCCCTACTTCTGGAAAGATTTCTCTGGTCAGATTTCCAAGTGGCTCATGCATGATGCGAACGAAAACTTCATAGCTGACCAACAAAGCGAAGAGCAGACAAATCGTCAATAAATTGAGAGCCACCACTGCCCGACGTACATCGCAACAGCAACCAAAGTACAAGTGGTTCTCACGCCCCACTTGTGGTTGAAACAACCATTCACTCATTTCGCACCAAGAGCTGGAATCCGAGAAATTGCAATGACGTCGTGTTTCATTTTCTGCCAAGTGGTCTTGGTAGTTATGACAGGGGTGGTGCGCCTGAATTGCCAGTGGCGGTGGTGGTGATGATGATGCTGGCCAAAGTGAACGTGAACTGATGATGGGATGGGAAGCGTCACCCGTAGATTGATCCACTAGAGTCATCATCGTCGAATGATGGTCACTGTCATGATGAGTGTCATGATCATCATCACATGTCAATCGAACGTAATTCGCAGAATACAGCATGATTCCTCGACAGGGTGTGACCAAAAGTATACTCTTGGTGTGACTGCAATAAGTTTTGGATAACTTGATGCTTCTCCTGCTTGATTTTGGATTTTGTTGAAAAAGAAAGTGAAGGTAATTCTGCACCGGTACCAGATACGGTACTATTACCGGTAGGTACTCGTATCTTGCATTCTGTTCTTTTTTGAAAAGATGCATGCACGCGCACAATGTTGAATGTGATCGAACCAATCGGTTTGCGAACCATAGTTCGATGCGATGAGATGAGGAACATCTTTTCGCACGCACGGCTCAGAATTAACACAACCTTGCCGACGCTCTGTGGAGCATTTTGAATTTTATTCATTCGAAATAAATTGATTGGAAATCAAATGTTGTGCCGGCCTGCAACATTGCAAGGCCGGCAACCTTGGAACTTCACGGCCTAGCAACCTTGGAAATCGAGCAACCTTGGAAGTTGTCGATCAACACCCGCTTTGGTGGTGGTTTTGGGGTGCCTCAGGTGCATTGTCGGCAGCATAAAGGACCAGATACGGAGCATCATTGACAGTGTAGAAGGTGAGACGGCGCCCAACGCTGGTGGTCGAATTTCTGTTAGTTTGCGTCAGAACCGGTGGTATAGATTGGGTCGATCCTTTGCTTGCAAAAATTGAAACCATCATACGTGTAGACTTGCTCATGAACAACCTTTGGAAAAGGAAACATGAGCCATAAACCATAATAGAACAGGCACTTCTGTAATATTAGGGGGCTTCGGTGGACGACTTTTGGAGTCGAGAAGCCAAAAAAATACAATGACAAGCTGATGGTGTGGGTGTGTCCTCGGGTTTAGGAGCTGGATATCGGCCTCCTTGGCAGTCCTGAGGTTTTGCTATCCGTCAGGGGGAGGGTGGATGGCGTCGAGTGGGAGTGTCGACACTCCCGAGTTGGAGGGAATCACCTACACCATTCTTGTCAAGGGATAATTATGTAGAGATGCATCCTCCAGTGTGACTTTTGCAGTCGGCATGGATTCCATACGAAACATCCACCCATGCTTGCATCCTTCTGATGTTGTCCCCACCAATGATTCTTGTTAAATCTATCGATCCTTTCAGATACTGCAAGACTCTCTTGAGCTTGACCCAATCTTCTTCATGTGGGCATCCTACTCTAGTGCACAAGTAACCGATGGCGGTTTGAATGTCTAGACGTACAAAAGTGACGCTGTTACGCTGTGTAAATTGCCAGCCCTTTCCTCGTCCAAATCTTATGCAGCTTCTCTCACATCGAAAAGATAGGCCTTGGCAGGCAAAGTTGCCTCTCTCTTGATATGATCCATGAACATATCGATCGCCTTCTGAATGTGTTTCTTCATGCTGATCTCCACCTTGCCGTCTTTGTATGTTATCTTCATTCCCAAAAACTCGTGCTCTTCACCGAACTTGTTCGTCATCTTGCAGAACTTGGCTTCAATCTTCCCAATGATATCCTTTACGACCTCCAATTTCATATGACTGATCTTGTTATCGTCTACATACCAGCAAATTGTGAATTGCTTTCCATCAATGTCACAGTTGGCGACGCACAGATCATATGGATTAAGCTTAAAACCCATATCCATGAGAGTTTCCGAGTAAAGTTCATACCATAACATTGAGCTTTTTACGCACCCATATAATGCTCTGTCCAATTGTACGTACAGCACTTTCCTTCCCTTCACGACGGTGACAGATTCCCTTAGACTGGGATCAACATCACAGAAGATATCGACTTCGGGTCCCGAAATGCGCATGATTACTCGATCTTTCATCTTTGCATTCAGGTACGCTCCTCTGACGTCGCTGGTGGCCTTAAAGCTTCCCTCGATCGCGTCAACAATGCAGGTGATGAAAAGTGAATCTTGATCCACAGTAAGAGAAGCTGTCTCATCCTTGGTGTAGATTCCCCGCTGCACTCGACCGTTGAAAACGCTCCTAGCTCTTAGCACTGGATTCTCATCGGTGTGTCCTCTATTGATCTTTTCCTCAATAAGATTGATCATGTCTCCGGCTCCTCTCTTTTCTTCCAAAGAGATGCCGTCGGGTCCGTCTGCTTTGACTCCGTGGAAAACTTGGAACTCTAGTAACTGTGCGAACTCGGCAATTAGCTTCAGTTCTGCTTCTTTGTCGTACTTCTTGATGCCCTGCTTGGCTGACATTTGGGCAAACGCAAGTCCGGTGGTATATCGCTCCAACAGGTGTGTCTTTCCGGTGAGCTGGTGTTCTTCCCATGCACAAGTGAAGAAATCCACCTTTTCTTCCTTTTCCAAATCTTCAAACCTCTTGTTCAAAAACGAAAAGGAAATCTTTTTCCTTTTGGCCTTCTTTTTATTTGCCGATATTTTCGTGATCGAACTTTTGCTAGTCTTATTTCTTTTCTTATTGTGAGCGGCTCTTTTTCTCCTCTGAAAGCTGTTCACCTTTCTCTTTACTTTTCCAGAGGTCTTCTTGATCTCTGTTGTTTGCAATGCTGAATACTTTTCAGCGGGTTTTCTTTCTCTCTTTCCTCTTCCGAAGTCTTCTCCTTCGTTCCTGTCAAGATGACCTCCTCTTCGTTCTTTGCCCTCCAGATTACTGGCTGCCACTACTACTGTTTGGTCCCTGTCCTCCGTCTCGTCCGCTGTTGCCTGGTCCTCTTCGGTATCTCCCAAATCGTCGGCATCAGCTTCATCTTCCGTTTCATCGTCAGTCACGTCCGCTTCTGCCGAGAAATCGTCATCTTCGTTTTCATCATTTTCTTCTATCACGTCTTGTGGTTGCTCTTGGTTGCCGTTCTGCGCTCCTTGATCTTCGGCCAGTGCTTTGACTTGCGCTCCTTGAATTTCCGCTCCTCGCGCTCCTTGAGTTTCCGCCCCTTGTTCCTCTTGATTGTCCGGTAGTTCTGTCTCAATTTCATCCGCTCCTGGTAGATCATCCACATCAATAGGTACGAAAGGATTGGGCCCAGCATTTGGTAGATTTATGACGAAAGGTTCAGGCAAGATTAGCGGGTCTTGTGCTGCTTCAGCAGGTGCAACGATGTCATCCGCGGTGATCGGTTGTCCTGGTCTCCATTCATATACAATGAAAAGTCGGACCATTGGAGCGATCGTTTTGGACCCAAGAAATCTGACTGGACAATACAACTTCATGCCTCTGGAAACCGGAAGAGAAATCAATGGGCGAGTGACAACGGCGATGCCTATCTTTGACGACGTGATCAAAAGAGTGGAAGAACTTGGACTTGAACAACAGCAACCGTATCAAGAATCGAAAATGCTGAAGTTCGTTACCTTTTCAGTCACGTGCAATTGAACATACTCGCCGCACTCGTATTTCAGATGATTGTGGTCAACGTGTGGAAGATTTTCAATAATGTTCCAAGCCGAGAGCCCATTCGTACTTTGTTCGGCGGATCCAAAAGTGTTGAGAAAAGCAACTCCAGTCTTGATGATGGCTCGTACTATCATTCTCGGGTAGCACAAATATGGCATCGCATGGCATGTTGACCGACTGTCGTTTTTCATGGTCTGAACAGACCTTTCAATCTCGGGGACGTGGTCGTCCACTTCACAGCAGACCAGTCGGGCCGGCAAGACATCTTTTTCCACCTTTCCAAATTTGTTGTCTGCGTGGATTTTGGTGATTCGGAAACCCCGGGCATTGTAGAGTTTGAAGATATCCTTTAGCTCCTCGACAATGGAGCCTTTGGTTCTGCTAATTGGAAAAGACACAGTTCGATAGTCAATTCGTTGAGAGATGGAATGAAAGACAGTGACGCCGTTTACATAATAAAAGTCAACGCAAAGCGTCACGTTTTTGAGATCTTTGTTCATGCTCTTTGGGATCTGGACAATATCGGTCTCCTTCACTCTCGCTAACGACTGGTTACAAGTCCGGCCCTTCACTGGTGGTAGTGGTGGTCCATAGATGGAGTGGGACCGCCGCACATCCCCTACTGTGACAGGACAGTTCCGAATCCAATTGTCCTTCATGACACGTACAAATTTGTCTTCCGCCATATGATTGGTCCTTCGGTTGAGCAGTACCGCCTCATCGGCCTTACAAATATCCCTCTTAGCAAAACTTGCTTTGTTGTCTGCTACAGTTTGTAAAAAGTTGAAAGCTTAGACATATCTACTGAAGTAGCATCATAGACGTACAGACCAGGAGCAATGCATTCGAATTTCATTACATGCCCCTCCGAAATGTGTACGCTAAAAGCATTTTCAGTCTCAGTGTCCAGAGTCACACAAAATTATTCTGCAACGACGCCAGAGACAGAATATTAGCCAAGCATCTCGGGTTATACCACACGGTGAATCCCCCAAAATGACCCTTCTGAGTAGTATCAAGAGTTCCACCGGAAGTGTGTAGTCTCAATATTTCCCCATCAGTGGTTGCCTTTTCTCCAGTCAAATAACTCAGGTTGCTGAAAATATGATTGGTGGACTCACTATCAAGGAGAATCCAGTTTGGATCAATGTAAGTATCGGGATGTTGATTCATGAGAATACCACATCTGTAGTTGCTTACCTAGCTTCGAACTTTGCCCCCATTCCATCCTTGGCAGCGGGACAATGGCTCTGATAGTGCCCCTTGTTCTTGCACAGGCGACAGGTGATGGTGGCGTAGAACGAGTCGTTGGTTCCCCGAAAGAAACAAACTTGTCCCGTTTCACCAGCTGTCTGGGCGAGAGAAACCAAAGGGTTCCTATTCGCTCCTGTTCTTGCTGAGGGCTGTCTTGCGCTATCATTGTTATTGCCGCGACCGCGTCGGGCGACATTGTTTGGCTTCCAATTTTCAGAAGTTTCAAAACTCCAGGGACGCCTTTAGGAAATCCGTCCTGTGGGTTCCGTTGGGCTTCTTCAGATAGTTGTTAGAGAGCTCCTTCATCAGGTCACCAAAACGCTCTTTGTTGGTCCGCTTAAGGATTGACATGGCAATGCTACAATCCTTAATCATCTTTTTCTTGATGCGTCGAACGTCATCTTCTTGTTCCTTGGTCATAACAGTGGTCCCTGTGGCCGATGCTGCGAAGAATTTGCTCTTGGCAGCTTCCACAGTTGTCTTGGGCTCCTTTTCCTTTGCCGGAGTCCACAGAAATGGGCCTCCACGGCGTTCATAATCCTTGATGGCTTGTAGCATAGTCTTCACAAAAGCTTCATTTGATTCGCTTCCCTTTTGACGCATCTTGAAGATCTGCTCAATTGCGTCATCAAGCGCGAGCTCTGCGGGCGCAATTCCTTCTTCATATCCAGAGACGATGTCGTCAATGGTGCTCATGAGCCAAACCAGATCTTTATTCTTGCTGGCAGCCAGATGGCCATCAGTTGACTTGATCTTGTTTTGCATCGTTGTAGTCATGTTGCTCATGATTAGCTGAAACATAGCGACAGTGTTAGCTCGAAAAGCGTCCTTCCGATCTTTGTATTTGTCCATCAACCGATCGTACACTTTAACTTTTCTGGCATCTACCTCTTCTGCAGCCGTCAATGGATCAGGCTCCTTCATCTTGGGCTCCGCGTTTTCTCCTAGAACGTAACCCACATCACCTCCGTCCGCCCACCTGATGATTACTTTGTCAGTCAAGCTTGTCAAAAAATCCTCCAAGTCTTGCTCTGTTCCATCTTCCTCAGGCGCCTTCAATTGTTTGAGCCCCTTAACTGTAGTCGATCTGTATCCCATAGAGCTCATGGCGATATCTGATCTTTCTTCTTCTTTTTTCTTTTTCAGTTTCCCACTCTCTTCAAGTTCTGTGGGATTCTCTTTATCATTTGCGTTGCCGTCTTTACTGTGACAAACTTCCTTCCAAACGATTCGATTCTTCCAATCGTTTCCTGCCCTTTCTTAGGCTTCTTTATCAATACTTTATCACCGATTTCCAAAGTGATGGGAAACTTCTTCTCTTGTTCCCGTTCGTTTGTTCCGCTTTCGTCGCTCCTCTCCTTGTCAAGGTCTATTATCAACTTCTTGACCTTCGACTCTATTTCTTTCAAGTCTTGAACAAGTTCTTCCTTGCTCTTCTTGGTCATGCACCGTTGAAATGTAGCGATGTTGTTCAAAAATGAGAAAATGTATATATATTCAATTTTCGAAAACTCTTATGTTAGATAATAAAAGACCCTGCGATACTCTGAGACAATCAGTCTTCACTTGTTCGGCGTATGAACCTTAAAGTCGTTAATAAAACTTGCTTTAGTTGGGATAAGAGTTTTTGAATGACCAAAGCAAACTCATGCTTTCGGTCATCCCAAAACTCTCTACGCAGTTTTAATCTACTGTAATTCAATCGTTCATCTTTCGAACAACATCTGCCCATGACTGGTTCTCCATGCTCTCACGGTTGATGTATGACGGTTTAGACTCGTCACTATCTGACTCAGGGGAGTCGTCTGTACGACTTCCAACAAGAGGACCATGCGCACTTTCTGACATGGTTGATCGAAAAAAGATTGACACCCTCTCTAGTGAAAGATTACCAACCAATATCGAATTGAAATGAATTCATTCTTTTTAGTATACCATCTAGATTGATTGTTGTTGCTAGTTTGACTGAGTGCAGAATAGTTGATTCTATAGTTATGGAACTGAAGTAGACAGTCATCAGTGCATATAGACTTGATTGGTCACATGGACAGTGCAGAGTTAATGACTCGCATCTGAATGATTATTTTGAAGACAGTTGTTCCTATTTTCTATTTCTAACATGTTAGATAGTAAAAGACCCCACAATACTCTGAGACACTTAGTCTTCAGTTGTTTGGTATAATGTATCCTCGCATCTTTTGATGGTGACATTGATCGGGGCGTAGCACGCAGTGAATGTATGGATATTCTTTCTGAGTTTGGTGTTTTTACTGGATCTTGTTACTTTGACGAAATATCATCCGGTACCACCGGAAATGTGCAAGTTGTAACGCAAGCGACAGCAGCAGACTTCAACGCTTGGAACGCGGATGGAGCGGTAACGCTAACTCTGGATGCCGACAGTAATGTCCTTCCTGGTGTCCGCTCCTCAGTGGGGACAATCCAATTGCAATATTGTGAGTAATGGAAATAGTATCTGATTGATAGGTCAGGTCGTGTCATTAAAGGTATTAGTAATACATCAACATTTCATAGCTACACGTCCTTGTTGCTATAGTTTCTTCCCTTTTTTCTTTACATGCTTTGCGGCCGCGTCGAAAGTTTATGGCCATTTTATCTTTTGATTGTCCCCAGCCTTGAAAAGGTCGAAGAATATATAGGTAAAACTGAAACTATGATATGATTTGCATTATTGGATTCCAGGAATGAGTGCGTGGCATTATATCGTCAGCGAATGCACAAATGAAAGCCATAAAGAGAGCCGCCTCTGGATGGACTTTGGAATGTGTCTACCGGTATAGAGGACACCACTTAAAACGAAGCCTTCAGCGATTGCCCTATTTCTCCCTTGAATGTTCCATTTCGTTTCCGGTTGTGAACTAAAGTTCAACAAGAGCTGCTACTCAACGCAAGACG